ATTTGAAGCCTTGCCTCACTTTGATTTTTTTCATCCTCTTTCGTTTCACTTGTTATCCGATCAGAACAACGTACGCTGGCTTTTCACACTTTAGAGAACGCTGAGCTGTTTTCATTGAAGTGGCGTTCATTTGTACAACAAACTTTCATTAATACCGTATGTAGTTCCCCGAATTGTTTGGTTAGCGCTAAATAAAAACATGTCCAAGTTTTGACGAAGGCGATGTGGATGAAACATTGGGCATAAAACAACTGATAGGAGTTTCTCGTCAGATAGCCATGGCCTATATTCGAAAAACATAAAGAGTTCAGTTTTGATTAGTGAGGAATGCGGCTTGCGTCTAAGTGCATATCTAATCCCTTCAGTGAGTTTCGAGTCACTAAATGAATCTCTTCAATGTTCTTATGTTAAAAGACAAGTCTGGGTCTAATCTATCGATACTCGAAAGAACGAAGGCGCGGTCGGCCGCGAACCAGTGACCGATCACGTGTGTATTTTAGATCTCCTCTAACCAGCGTGCTGGACACGCTATTTAGATAAGCATATACAATACATAAAATAATAATTGGCTAAAAATAATAGGTTTTTTTGCACTCCTTCCAACGGTTTACCGCCTCATCGTGGCAGGGAGGTGTTCTTGGGTGTCGGACTGCGATCTACAGGGGGGTAAGGAGTTCATTCCACTGGCAGGGTTTTGCAAGCCGTGAAAGAGTCATTCGTTACCACCAGAAAGCCAAGCTAAGAGTAAACCAATACCATGATCCACCACCGTCCTGGTATCAAAGTCGCATGGTGGCAAATCTCTCTCCTATCCACAAAGTCGTCGACTTCCTATGGTGGTGAAGACCTGGAACAGACTTTGGCCAGAATGAACTCGGGATTCCAGGAAACCACAATGGCTCAACCAGCAAATTCCTGAAAAATGAAGATTAGGCTAGAGTCCGCACAACAATGAGGACGGGCCATTCAAGTATCAAGTAAGTACCAAGTTTCTACACTACACTAGCATTGGCAACTTTGCCTGCATAGCTATTTTGTCCTCATATTTTAAAGCAAACAGTGTAAATCATTTATACAATAAAAGAAGCGAGCGCATACAATAAACGTCTTGCTCATTAACTTTGCGAAGCATTAACGGATTAAGCAGTCTCTATAATCTTAGTAAACAAAACACTGGTTAATTTTAAAGATTAAAAGTGAATCTTAAAACAATAAATAATTAAAGCCGCGTTCAAGAAATTGAGAAAAATCGAGCACAAATTTACATTGCAAAGGAGCATCAACGATATAACTATTATAATGCTGAGATATTTGCAAAACTCCGGACCGCAGATGTCTGCGGTGGGTACACGTTATTGTCCTTTCCGGGGAGTAACGCGTTCACCACCACACCATGCGTGTTCTACGTTTCGCCTGTCTCTCAGCTAGTTCTATCGATCTTTCGCCATCAGCAATCACCGCAAAATACCCTACCGTTAAAAAGAATGGGAAGTAAATAAAATGGTTAATTGTGATTATAACTTCAACCTCACTATAACTATAGCTATAGCCTGTGAATATAACTATAACTGTGTTCAATGCCGATTTGGGCTCCCAAGATCAACCCCTTGACGGGTGATTGCTAACGGCACCATTAGGAAAAAACAGTTTAAGAGTAAGGCAAATCAAGGACCTCAGTGGTGCAGTGGATTACACGTAAGCCACCGGAAAGGGTAATTGCGGGTTCGAATCTGAACTACGGTCTCAGCTTTGCAGATATCTCATCATCATTGTGTTTGCATTTCGTATAACGCTAAGCCATGAAAAGGTAATGAGAGTAAATATAAGTTATAACAAGTTAAGTTAATATAAGTTAGGAGTTATAAATCCAAAAAATCTAATTGAAAAGAATAAGAATGTTTCATCATTAGTGTAACTTGCACCATTTATCAGGTTAGATTACTGCCTTGAGCGAGACCCATATGTTACGCGAAGATTAATTCTGATCTTTTAAAACTGGATCGCAAAATAATGATGAGTCTATACAGGGCTACTTCCCATGTTTACTATTTAGAATTCATGTTTTCCGCTAATGGTTATGAAAATTTTTAACTAATCGGGGTGCATATTAATAAGTCCGCTCAATGGCAAAATTCTGATAAAACTAGCCAAGAGACAAGCGAAACGAATTACCTGCATGGTGTGGTGGTGAACGCATTACTTTGCGGAAAGGACAGCAGTGCGTTCGTTCTCCGCCACAGACATCCGCGGTCCGGAGTTTTGCAAATATCTCAACGTCATTGAAAGTTATATAATCCGCTCAATATTCCGAAAACAGCGAAACGTGCCAAACGTTACGTTAGCTCCTGTTAACTAAAGCATGTGTTAGCAATCTCGTATCGTCTCATCAACAACAAGCTAAAATTATCTGCAGTGTTTAAATCGGGTATATCAAGTAGATGGAAAACTATAAGTGCTCTATTGTTGTTTTTCCTATTTTCCAAATATATTTTAAGAAATCTTTGTTTCGACCCATATATATTCGCCATGTTGACTATCAACATCAGAGTTCAACATTTAGACACAACATCCTTGTGAACGGAGCAATACTAGCGCAGTGGCTTGTGATGCCGGGGCATAGGGCATGAGTTCAATCACTGCTCTAAGGCTCTCTTCCAATACACGCAGGAACACCTTATATCAGCTTTATCCAAGAATACAATAAGAATGTACTCGATCACCATTCTATGACATTCATAAGGAAGGTGAAATGCTCAAGCAGCAGCTGCAACAACAGGCGAAATATTCGAAGAGCATTGTGGATGTAGGATGGGAGGAAACGCAACGAATACAAGAAGTGCTGAGATCTGCACAGTAAATGTGATGACGGGTCATGTTAAATAAGAAAATCCATGCCATCTAGGTCGAATTTTTTCAGCCGTTTTTGTGGAGAGGAGCCACAGTCACGCATAGTGCCTTCGCTCAATGCGCAATTAACATCATCAGCAGCAAAGTCCGCACTATTGCTTAAAAGGCAGTCGCCGTAGAAAATTATTTGAATTCCATATTTGTCTAATCTGCCATTTTTTGCCTGCAGATGAAGCTTTAAATTTCATAAGAGATTCCTTAATATGAGAAGCCTACGAGCTGTTTTAAATACTTAGTTAACACTTGTCATTACATGGTCTCGTCGTCTTCAACCAAAAGGAGGACTGTTGCCTTAGAAGCAGAAACCATCCAGCATGGAAAAATTTTTATCCTTTATTTTAAATTATCTTAGATTTAAAATCTAATCTAAAACTTATATTTTAAAAAATTAATCCAGTTTCCTAATTGCCCCGGAACATCAAGGCATGCGGGAATATTGTAGGGAAACATTTATTGTGATATGCCAACCGGAGAAAATAGTTCAGAATTAATACAGAGTTTAACCAGTTTTAAACGTATTCATGAAATGGCACATTGTTTTCAGTGAGAACATAGCGAAAAAATAGCACAGTATTTCAACGCTACCCCTTTAATGAAGCCAGTACTCCATAAGCAACGATAACATCCATATTAAATAGCACTAGCAAGTCAAAAATTAACCAGACGAGTAGCGCCCTGTTCTCTTCTGCTTTGTATCCCTCTTTTTCCCTAGTTCTGAGTGAGTCGACAGCCAGTCGAATTTGTGCTCCGTCGAGTGGTATCAATGGGTAGAACGTCTCATTCTGTCGGCATGATACGATCACTTTCGTCTCATTTCTTCACCTAAGTTTTCTTGTTCTTTTTTTTTTGAGAAACTTGTTATTAGGAGCATTATATGTGCTTTAACCTCCTCTATTCAGTGAAAGTTTAATAAAATGAGGACAACGGCCAGAAAATCTCGTTCTTTTTATTTCTGAGATATAATATCAGACAAAATGAATGCATTTTACATGTTGAGTGAACTTATTGCTACCATTACTAGGTGCTGATTACTTGTTAAGGCAGTTCGTCGATTTTACACAGACTTATCCTCTTTCTAAGTTCGAAGGCGATTTCCTTTATGTCTCCCTGATATTTTCATAGAGTTTTTATCAATGTGGTTGTTTCAGGTGTTTTATTGCAGTCTAATACTGTTTCCTCTCCTTCTAGTATAAAGCTTAAATTCGGTGTCATCCTGGCAAGACTGTAGTAAAGTGTAACTGGACCGTTTTTCTTCGGACCAGAAGGGCTTTTCTTTTTTCGAAATCTTTCTCAGGAAGGTCCCAGATAAGTGGAGATCTTCTACAGAAAGCGATATGTTTCTTTATTTGAGTTCGTAAATGGAGTGGGTAGCGTTGGATATAATTTCAGCAATAAAGAGGGTAAATTCCACTTTTTACTTATATTACTATAACATTCTTGGCCTCCATGGTCAAATGGAGTCAAATTCGCAGTGGTTAGAAACGCCACTGCGACACACACGTGGAGTCGATTTCGGCGCCCAAGGCTCACCAAGAATTCTATCCCTCAGGAGTCGAGAAATAGGTACCAGACTTGTCTGGGAGGATAGCAGCATTGGCTCGTTACATCGGTAGGCCACCGCGAGTCATTGTAAACGCCAAATATGAATTCAATCACCTCCAACGATACATAATGAAGTCGAATGCAATGGCGCATCCTTCAGGGATAGTTCAACGCTGAGAGCTTTATTCTTTTTCCTTTATCACTTATAGTTCCTTTGATTGTTGAGTTACACGAATGGACGCCAGTAAATCCTCCACTTTTCACTGCTGCGTGCAAGAGTAGAACAGTGAGTTCGGCTCGCTCTAGGGACTCGTTGAGCGTCGTATATTTCTTCTAGTCTTTTCGCAAAGAACTGTGACTATCGGGTCAGTGGTGCTTCTGCATTGGGTTTAACATCCTGAGGAATCCAGTCACAAACGGCTCTTGTCCGTTGGTTCTCATTTATAGTCATTACGTGTTACACCCACCTCATATCTTCGACTGTTTGGCTTACAAAATGACATCTTTGATTTTTGATCGTTGACGCAGGACGTTGTTTCGGACTCTTTGCCTTATTTCTGCGACGCAGGTACTCCTAGCATCGTCATTTCGACTGCGCCTTCAATTACGCTGAGTGATTTGCCATCCTGCGTACGCAGCGACCAGTTGCCTGGTGCATACCTTACGGTAGAAATCACCGTTGAGTCGAAAAGGTGGGCACGGAGCCCGGTATTCCTTGTTCTATTCACTACATCATCGGTGCTTTTGAAAGCTCCCGATGCTGCTCGTTTATTTCTGCTCAGCTCCGAAGCTAAGTCGTTCTTCATATTGATTTTCCGAACAAGATAGACATAAGTGGAGCATTCGGAGATACTGGTTCCGTTGAGCTTAAATGGATCGTACGAAACCATTCCGTTCTTCATGAACTTCGTTTTTGTGAGATTTAGTCGAAGACCAATTTTTTTACAGGGTTCAGCAAAGTCGGGAAGCATACGTTCCGCTTGGCTAATGCTTGATGTTATAAGGATGATGTCATCGGCAAAACGAAGATGATGTTACTGTCGGACATCGATTTTTTCTCCCATATTATCCTATTTCAATGTTGGCATGACGTTTTGGAGGGTGGCCTTAAATAATTTTTCCGTTCTAATAATAGTAATTCTGACGCAAATGTCAACGCAACAAGTACTGTTGAGCAGAAAAGGTAGGGACGGAGTCCGCGGTTCTTTGCTCTCTCCACTACGTCCTGGATACTCTCGAATGCTCCACGTGTCGCTCGTTTCCTCCTACTAAATTTTGGAGCTTAGTAGTTCGTCATGTTGATTTTCCAACCTAGACAGACATGACTGGAGCATTCGAAGATATTCGCTCCGTTGAGCGTGAATGGGGCATACAAAACCAACCCGTTCCTCATAAACATCATTTTTGTGAGCTTTGGTCAAAGACCAGTGTTTCCATAGGCTTTATCAAAATTGGCAAGAATTCACACCGCTTGGCTAATATTTGGTGTTATGAGAACAATATCATCAGCAAAGCGAAGATGCTGTAGTTTCTCAGCCTCGGTTTTTAATCCTATGTTATCCCATTCCAATATACGCATGACATTCTAGGGGATGGCAGTAAAACATTTTGGCGAAATGGTATCACTTTGACTAGCTCCTCCTTTGACGTCAATGTTAATATCGTTGTAAAATGGTGATATCTTGGCTGTGAAATTTTGTACAGATCACGAAGATCTTTACATGCTGAGTTGTGCCTCCCTGATTGTCAAGGCCTCCGATGATTGCTTCTGTCTCAGCTGACTCAAAGGCCTTCTTTAAGTCGATGAAGGTGAGACAGAGCGGCCTTTTGTACTCTCGCGATACTTCAATGAGCCTTGTAATCGCGTAGATGTGGTCCATTGTACTAAATCCTTTTCTAATCCCTGCTTACTCACATGGCCGTTTTTCGTCCAGTGTTGTGTCAACTCTCTTTAGGATGACTCGAGTGAAAAGTTTGTATACTGCAAACAGCAAGCACATTGGCAATAGTTGCCGATATCGTGGAGGTCTTCCTTCTTGAACAATAGCACTGTCCTGCTGTTCTTTCATTGAATAGAGGCTTTGAATTCAGACGGGTGGCGTGTGAAGACACGAACCAGTGTATTTACGAGGTCTGGCAGAAGGTTCTTCAGGTGTTCTGATTCCATCCTTTCCGGATCTGGTGCTGTTCGATTTTTCATCGACGAAATGGCATGTCGGATTTTGGAAGGCAAAACCGGGGATGCGACATATTCATCCTTCTTTGTTTTATATGAGGAATTGGGACGTGACTGTTGAAGAGACCTGAGTAGTATTCGTGGATGATGGGCTCCACTGCCTTTCTTGAGGCTGTAACTGTTCCGTCTGAACGTCGGAGTGCAGTTATTGTGGTCTTCTAATTGGCGAAACTTTTTGGGAATTTTTTTCTCAGTCTTTGCAGTCTTTAACATAAATGCTAATTTTCTCTCTTTACCTTCTTTCATCGCCTGTTTGCATTGTCTTCCAAATTCGCACGTTAGTTCGCGGTTGCCGGCAGGTCGTGCGATTCCACGCAGGCGTATCAGCTCGAGTGCTTCTGGAGACAGACGTCTCTTGGTGACTTTCGAACTCTCAGCTTTCAAACCGCTAACGTGAAAATGTTGTATGAGCCAATCGTATTCTTTGTCGTTGTTATCGACAACGGCATCTTACCAACAGCCGACTCATGAATTGAATAAGTCCCAGTTTACAGTTGTTCTCGGACTTCGGTTTTTGAATTTAGCGGCTTTTTCTCCTTTCCGTGAGAAAAAGAATCTTGCATGAAGGAGGCCATAGTTTGATCCTTTCTAGAATTTTGAGACATCAGCGACATCGGTAGGGCAAAACCTTCGGATTATTATGATATGGCTTATTTAGTTATGGTCCCACGTCCAGCGTTGACGATGGGGCACTGCATAGCTTACACGAGATTATGTATAATGTACCTGAACTCATACAGTTCCCGTCACTGCCGTTAGGACAAATCATGCAGTTTTCTCAGCTGCACAAACGGTCACAGAGGCGATTTCTGATTAACTGATGGCGTAGAGTAATGGTCTTGAGGTCAATAACCGCCACAGAGTTTTCCAGTCCACTTTTTCTTATTCAGCTCTGAATGGCATAACTTATTTCGTTTGCTAGGAAAGGTAGCTTTAAAAAAAATCTTGCTTACGCCCGAAACATTTTTTTTAGGGTATAACCTGTCGCCTTTGTCTGATCCGAGTGCCTTCTGCTTCATACCAATTTTAAATGGTTATTTTTCGCACCAAATTTAGCGATTTCTTCCCTTCCTGTTCCCTTGTACACATATTTTTAGCCGTTCGGTACATGTTTTTGATGAGTGCTTTTTCATGTGTGAAGGATGTGAGGATCTAGTGGATATTTTTCCTACTTGGATTACGTTTTACAGCCACTTTCTGAGAGCTTAATTTGAATTTTTAGGAATGGAAGCCAGTTCTCGGTTTATTTTTCCAGCTTGAACTATATATACTCCGGCTGTCTATTCAAAAATTTAAAGCACTTGTCCTTCTGTTCTTGTGTGAAACGAACGATGAAGCAGTCGTTTATGTATCGACACTAGAGTAAAGGTCGGGAATCGATAACTGAGGCTTCCACCTCACTCATAACAGCGATAGCAAGGCTTGGCACTAGTCGCTGTCCCATACCCATCTAATTTGCGCGAAATATCTTACTGACCACCTATAGATTGAATAACTGAGACATTGCTTTAAAAGAGGACTAGTTGTTGAATCGACAAGCCATATATTTTTATTTTCTTTCCGTGCTCTATGAGCGACTCGAGAATGGCTTGCATTGCGGGGTCATTCGACACGCTGATGTAAAGTGAAGTAACATCGAATGACTCCATTACATGAGTGCTGTTTGGTTGCGCGCACTAGGTGATCCAGTAGTATTTTGGTGTTGAGTAAAATGGCTGGAATGAATTTCAGAAACTTAGCCAGGATAAGGTTTAGGAACCACGCTATTCTATTCTTTGGCCCGCGTGAACAAGTGATGATAGGTCTAACTTTAAATGGTAATGAATCGGTGGACGCAAAATCTAGTGCACTAGCTCTCTTCTCAGCCTTCACACATGAAGAAAGCACTCATGATAAACATGTACCAAACAGGTAAAAATGTGAGGGTGAAGAGGAAAGGAAGGAGTCGCTAAACTTGGTACGAAAAATAGCCATTTCGAAAGACTTCGAAACAGAAACCACTCGTGTAAGGCAAAAAGGTAGAACTCTTTCGCAAAATAATGTTTCGAAGGGTAAGATCTCTTCTAAGCTACTCTTCTATTAAATGAAATAAGTTACACTAAACGGTCTCTAAGAAAAAGTGGTCTTTGAAATTATGTGGCGGTTACTGACCTCCAACCTAATGCCCTATGCCGTTAAATAGCCCGCTATCGCCTCTGTTATCGTTTGTGTAGCTCAGAATACCGTCTGATCTGTCCTAACAAGAGAGACGTAGATTTTACGAGTTCAGGTACATTATACTTTTCCTCACCTAAGCTATGCTGTGCTGAATGCATGGGGATATGGACATGCAGTGGTGAATACATGGGGTACGGGTAAACCGCTTTTGTTTCAGGGTAGAAAAATACCTACATGTGAAAGTCAAGGTTGCTAAAGCGCCTCTCTAGGTACGCACAGTGTACAAAAGCGTAATGGCGATGATTTTGAAGTGAATGTCCGGATCCTACCGGAGTCATCGAAAACATCAACACGCAAGACACCTGAGGCGTTTTGAATAAATTTCAAAAATTCAAAGACCGGCCCTAAAAGACGACCGCCTCAATATCAAACGTGATCTGGCCCCTTATTTCGAAATGGTTTTTTGACCGCCGCGGGCCTCGCTGGTGACCCCACATTAACAACCCGTGGGCCAGTCCTACTCGTAGCAGCAGGGTGCGCAGCCTTTCTGATCAATACAGCGTTTATTTGAAGGTCTGATTTTCGTAACCTTTCTTTTTACTGCCTATTCTTTTTAACGTCAGAGTATGTTGCGAAATATAACTATTATAATGCTAAGATATTTGCAAAACTCTGGACTGCAGGTGTCTGAGGTGAGGAACGAACGTGCTACTGTCCTTTCCAGGGAGTAACGCGTTCACCACCACACCATGCGGGTCCTTCGTTTCGCCTATCTCACAGCTAACCAGATCGATCCCGTTGACGGGTGATTGCTGACGGCAAAAGATCAATAGAACTAGCTGAGAGACAGGCAAAACGAAGGACCCGCACGGTGTGGTGGTGAAAGCGTTACTCCCCGGAATGGACAATAGCGCGTTCTTTCACCACCTTTCTTGCAGACACCTGCTGCTCGGAGTTTTGCAAAAGTCTGATTTTCATTAATACTACAAATACTTTACCAAATATAAGACTACTGTTACATGAAATATGTCCAGGCTCTGAGTAAGGCGAAATGGCCGAAACGTCAGTTATCGACCAACAACACCAAAAACAAAGAAAACGACGACTTGCGCTGACTTATCATAAGCGCAACGAAATCAGTTCGTAACAGCATATAAATAGAAGCTCATTTCTTTTAGCCTTTCACTTGCTACATAGCACTTGGAACGCAGAGAGTGTTTCGGCAGCGTTGGTAGGACGAGCACGGAGAATCTGCTGAAATCTCAGAACCATCCCAGGCTGCCTAAATCGCCAACGGCTAACGTGAAGATCTGTACCTACAATGCACGCACGCTTGCATCTGATTGCTCGATAGAAGACCCGATCGCGCATGCAAGAAAGGTAAGGTACGACGTCATCCGCCTGGCCGAGATGAGATGACGTCACCCATTCAACGCCGTGTATGACACCGGAGGAGAACTGTTCCTCGCAACAAGCGACAGTAGAGGAGTCGGCGGTGTCGGCGTTCTTGTCATCGCGAGTTCATCCATGAACATCTATTTATTCGAACAACTAGCAGCCCGCATCGGACGTTTACAA